TTACCCTCGCCGGGTAATGAAACGTTTGCAAGAAAAGAACCAAGCTCGGAGAACCCCAAGGGCTCCACATGATTTAATGCTGTTAAGGATGATGTCGTTGAAAAACATCTGTAGAGCTGCGTGTGTAAACTACTGTTCAGTGACTTCAGTATGATATCATTTGAATTGCAGGGGCGGGGGGGACAGGAGGGCCATTTCGCCTGGGCCTCAAGCCCAGAAGACGCACTTGTTCCTTTTTATCCATTTATCCAAACAAAGTCTCACTCTGTTTGGCAAGTGTGCCTCATTTTGTTTTCATGGGTGATCGTGTTTTCATTTTTCTTAAGACTAAACCCAGTCTCATGCAGGAAGTAGCCTGGGCTTCTCTTGTGCTCTGGGAGATGTTGTGTACTAGACTGAGGCCTTAACTCCCTAAATTTTCAAAAGGAAAACAAAATGGCTCCCCTCTTTCATGCTTGGATCCAGGGAGTCAAAGGGTCAAGTTCACCAAGGAGGGTGAAGTCAATTGCCATTACTTGATTCCCAGTATTTTTTTTAAAAAAATGTAAGCAGAGAGTGGCAAAATAAATTTAAAAAACAGGCCACTTTAATTAATCACTCCTTACTGGCAAAAGACACACCAGCAGCAGCATGTTGCAGTCAGTCTGCTCTTGTCCAGTAATTGGCAATTACTGGCAGGAAACAAATTGCCCAGCTTGCCAGCCAGCAAGGAATGAGACATGTTTTTACAGCATCTGAGCATGCAAGATGACATCATGATGCAAGCCCCGCTCCACAGCTACATCCAGTGTAGAATCCTAAGGGAGGGGCTTATGCAGTGATGTTACTGCAGGATGGAGCTTGACCCCATCAGTATGGACATCCCTTCTGGGTATAATTCAGTTGCAAATGATTACTGTGCTAGAAACAGAGAAAACAGGTCAGATGGCATGCTATCTTAGGGCCCCTTGAACCTTTGCAACCGTATTCTTGGTTTGCAACTCTGAATTTAAATAGTAACTTGAAGGCATACATTCACTTACGCACAAACGCACACACAAACACATATCCATACCGAATACATTCTTAAGCTGAATGCAACTTTAGTAAAAAGTGTCCTAAGAATGCCATTATATGAACGTACAGTATTTAATTCATTCTTACTTATGTGGGTATGCATGTATACATGTGCATGCACACATAACAAAGCTTCCAAGTTTCTTGATTAAAAAAAATATGTAAGACTGGGATTAAGGAGGCTCAGGTTAAATACCCATTTGACTAGGAGGTTCATTGAGTGACTGTGGGCCAGTCACTGTCTCTTGATCCAGCCTCAGAAGATTATGATTGCGAAGATAAATTGAGAGACAACACTCTTCACCATATATGCCAACATAAGCTCTCTGAGGAAAGGTGAAATTTAAGGATTTTTTAAAAAAAAACATGGACCTTTTGTCAGCCCTTCAAAGTAGGCAAGGTCAAGACACAGGCATGGCAGTGATTCCAGGAATGTCTTTATTGCTGTAGGGTAGAATAACAGAATCTTGAAAACCTGTCAAAATAGTTCTCTACTCTATGTTACGCCAAACAAAATCAAGACAGGGTTATTT